AAGCTTTCTTCTTTCTCTTGGGCCAATTTTAGTAATTTACATTTTTCCTAAAATGTATCTATTACCTCTAAATTTTCAAGTTAGTTGATGAGGAATTTTATTTATTATTATTATTTTTAATGTTTATTTATTTTTGAGAGAGACAGAGCATGAGCGGGGGAGGGGGAGAGAGAGAAGGAGACCTAGAATGTGAAGCAGGCTCCAGGCTCTGAGCTGTCAGCACAGAGCCCTACGCAGGGCTTGTACTCACAAGCTGCAAGATCATGACCTGAGCTGAAGTCAGCCGCCCAACTGATTGGGCCACCCAGGTGCCCTGATGAGGAATTTTAAGTTGCACCTTTTTATAATTCTTTAATTCTTTCTTCTAACTAATATTGTCTATTTTTACTCCTTTTTTCTTTGTGTGTGTGTGCATGCTTGTAAGAGGTTTATTAGCCCTTTTATTTATTTATTTTTTAATGTTTAATTATTTTTGACAGAGAGAGAAACAGAGCATGAATGGGGGAGGAGCAGAGAGAGAGGGAGACACAGAATCTGAAGCCAACTCCAGGCTCCGAGCTCTCAGCACAGAGCCTGACTTGGGGCTCGAACTCACATACCTCGAGATCATGACCTGAGCTGAAGTCGGAAGCTCAACCGACTGAGCCACCCAGGCGCCCCTTTATTAGCCCTTTTAAAGAACTTTTTAACGTGTATGCTCTTTAGTATTTTTGTTGGTTCTCCATTTCATTCATGTCAGCTTTTGACATTTCCTGCTTATTTTTGGTTTCTTGTTCTTTTTGTAATCTATTGAAATAAGTACTCCCCTTTCTCTCTCTCTCTCTCTCTCTCTCTCTCTCTCTCTCTCTCTCTCTCTCAAGCTTGCTATCTTTATAGCATTTGGGGCATATATGATAAAGGGCAATTGAGATGGCATCCAGTATTACACTATTTTTTCATTAAGCATTTAAATTTTGTAAATACTATAATTTTGTTCTTTTTTAAAACCAGCTTTACTGTATTGTAATTGACACGCAATAAATTTTATCAGTATTAAGTGTACAATCCTATGAGTTTTGACAAATGTATTCAGTCATTTAACCACCACCACAATCAAGATCCAGAAGATTCCCATCATCCTAAAAGTTCCCTCCTACCTCTTTGCAAGCAATCCTCACACCACTTCCAGCTGGTAACTTAAATTCCCCTTGTTGGATACCAGTGTTACCACTGCTTTCTGTTTATCTGCCTGGTGTCTCTTTCCCATCTTTAATTTGAATCTTTATCACTTTGCCTTTTTTTTCTTTAATGTTTATTTGTTTTTGAGAGAGAGAGAAAGAGTGCATGTGAGGGGCAGAAAGAGAGGGGGACAGAGGATCTGAAGGAGGCTCCTCGCTGACAACAGAAAGCCTAATGTGGGGCTTGAACTCACGAACTGTGGGATCATGACCTGAGCCCAAGTAGGGTGCTTAGCCCACTGAGCCACCCAGGTGCCCCTTGATCACTTTGCTTAGAAGAAGTATGTTTCTTCTAAGTAGCATTGACCAGATTTTGACTTATAAGAAAGTCTTAGAGTCTTTTAATGGAAGAATTCAGTCCACTCATATTTACTATACTGAGTGATATATTTGATTTATTTCCATCTTACTTGTTTTTGGATTTGTAAACATTGTTGTGAACCCTTCTTTACCTTTGTTGGATTGAATGAATGGCTATTCATCCCATTTTCTCCTTGTTAATTTGGAGTTTGTCGTTCTATTAATAGTTACCATCTTTTGCCTTGTTCTCTGAAATAGATGCACATGATTGTTCTAGTATGTGAAAACAGAACAACTATTTCCATCATACTTTACTTATCTTCTACTTCCTCCCCACCTCAATAAGAAATGGTCTTTAGACTACTTTCACTACCTTTCCTCCTCCTTCCCCCCCACCACCCCAGATCCTTGGAACACTTACCTTTGACTTACCCTCACCACCTGATTCCAGAGTTTTCTTGAGATGATTCAGTCCCTATTAGAAGTTCCTTTACAATGTACGTGTTCCTTCTGTTTCAAGAGTTTTAGCATTTATATGATGTACTATACATATATAGAAATATAGATATAAATATATAGATCATGGTTCGTTGCACTCCACCGTTTTCTTTCCTCTTCCCTTGACCTTCCCCTATCTTGAAGTCTGTTCTAATTCATTTGTTGTTTCATTAGAGTCTTTTCTTAAAAGTATTTCTCAGATGAGATACTGACTAATTTTTGCAAATCTTCAAATATCTTTCTTTCCTCCTTTAACTAGGCCCTGGTTGAAGGCCTTTTCTTCCATTAACTCACATTCAGTTTTGCTGTCTTTTAACTTCCAGGGTTGCATAAGAAGAAAGAACTTTCTTTCTGCTTGGAAATGTGTAAGATTTCCCTTATCCTTAGAGTTCAGGAATTTTAACCTGTATAGGGCTGTCTTTCTTCAGCTCAGGGAAATTTCACCTATTATTTAATCATAACCTCTTCTCTACTGTTCCTTTTCTCCTGGAACTCACAGAATTTGCAGGCTAAATCTCCTCGGTCTGGTTCAGTCTCTCATCTTTCACCACATAATTTGCATTTCCATATTTTTGTTAAATGTTTTGAGATATTTCATCTGTTTAATTTTCTGGACCTCTTTTGGGGTTTAGGAGTAACCATCCTCTCCTTTGACTTATGTATGGAAATTTCTAGTTCTGATATCACATTTTCTAGTTCAGGGAAATCTTTTGTGTTTGACCTTCACACATATCTCCTCCAGGCTCTCATTCAGTCAGAGATTCATTTGTTCCCTCCAGCAGGTCTCTCTGCCTTCTGGTTTGTCTGCATTCTCCTGGCCTCAAAGGCCGAGAATTTCAACCCACCATTAGTTTTTCAGAGAGCTGGAGAGATTCAGCAAAGCCACTGATTGTTCCTGGGAAGTCGGCTGTTTCTGGGACTTGCTGCCTTCCTGAAGGTCCTTGTTCTTGGCTCTGAGGCTGTCCTCCAGAAACTGGTCTGCAGGAAATTCTCTCTGCCAGGAACTCAGAAGAGCCCATTTAAAGTTCGTCCTCTATAGCTGGGAGTCATCAGGGATTGTGGAATGGAGAGGATTTCCATATACCCAGACTCTCATACACCCAATGTGGGGCTCAAACTCAGGAACCATGAGATCATGACCTGAGCCGAAGTCGGACACTTAACTGACTGAGCCACCCAGGCGCCCAGCACTTTTTTTTTTCTTTAATGTTTCTTTATTTTTGAGACAGAGAGAGAGAGAAAGAGAGAGTGTATGTGCACTTGAGCAGGGGAGGGGCAGAGAGAGAGGGGGACAGAGGATCTGAAGTGGGCTCTGCACTGACAGCAGAGAGCCCGATGCAGGGTCTGAACTCACAAACTGCAAGATTACAACCTGAGCCAAAGTTGGACACTCAACTGACTGAACCACCCAGGTGCCCCTCAACCCCAGCACTTTTAACTTTTGGGGACAGAAATTCTGTATGATGAATGGCTGGCCTGTGTGTTGTAGGATGTTCAGCAGCATCCCTGGCCTCTACCCACTATATATCAATAGCACTCGCTCCCCAGCTGTGACAACTAAACATGTCTCTGGATGTTGCCAAATGTCTCTCGAGGGGCAAAATCACTTCTGTCTGAGAACCACTGTTGTATACCTTTCGATTCTATTTGATTTTTATAACACATGTGCTCACACTATTGCTCAGTACTCAGTGCAGTACTGAGCACTATTGCTCAGTGCTCAGTAATTAAACATTTAGCTGAGATCATGAAATAGGGGAGAAAATATGAAGCTGTTGTGAAGGAAGCAAAAACAAGAAGTAGAGAATTTATAGTAGAAGATGAGGAAGCAAGTTAGCAAACTGGGAAAAAATTAGGAATAAATAAAAGAAGCAGAAACTCTGTCAGAGAGAGTATCTGAGTTATGGGACAGGAGGAGCAGGAGTGGGAAAACCCATGTACTCCTTTCTCCAAGGTCCCAGTGATGCTGAGATCTGAGATCTGAAATCCAATAACAACAGTCTGCAGATGCCCAAACATACGATAGCCACTATTCGGTGATTCCCACTCCATTCAGCTTGTTAATTGCCCAGGTGTCCCAAAAGTAAACACCCCTTCACTTTTAAGCTAGGCTAAAGGAGTGTATTCCTTACAAACAAAGCCCATAGACTTAGTGCCCAATGAAGAGATGGGTACTCCACTGTGTGCTGTCAGTACTATATTCACTTCTTAGCATAATACTTTGAGAGAGACTCTGCTTGGGCACCTAGGTGGCTCAGTTGGTTAAGCATCTGACTCTTGATTTTGGCTCAGGTCCTGATCCCAGGGTTGTGAGATCAAGCCCCACATCCGGCTCTGCTTGAGAATGGAGCCTGCTTAAGATTCTCTCTCTCCCTCTTCCTCTATCCCTTCCCTGTTCATACTTTCACATTCTCTCTTAAAAAATAAAAAGTAAATTAAAAAAAGAGAGACTCTGCTCAAGCAAAACAGTAGGAATGATGAGTAGACTTCACATAAGGTCTGTAAAAGGAACTCTAGAGAGCTTTTCCTGGGAAGGTGGGGGAAAAAAAACTTAGGCCATCCATCAGAGCTGTCATGTACAGGAGGGAGAAGTGTGCTTGTATGATTGTAGCTCAGGAGGCAGAATTGATGACAAAAATAATAGGGGGGCAGCTTTTGGCTCCAAATTAAAAAAAAAAAAGTTCTCTCAAAAAGAAAGACTGGAAAGGAGTGCTTGTAAGGTAGCGAGGTCCCTATTTCTGGAAATGTTTAAGAAGTTGGTAGAGTGGTTCCTGCAGTGGGTATAAGCTTGGGCCAGATCTGTCAGCCTCCTCCCAGTTATAGAATTCTAGATATTTAAAAACCTGGAAAGAGGCACACACTAGGCAAAATATTTTAGGGTCAAATGGAACAACAGTACATTTAAGTAAGGCAGAGGAGGGTGGCTGGTGGAGGAGTTGAGCAATAAGGGAAGATCTCAGAGGTTCAGCATCTTCCGCTGGCCTTGGTGTGCTGGTCTTTCCCCCCACAGAATTAGTCAGAACTCGTGGTTGCAAGAGATAGAAAATCTAACTTAGAATGACTTAAGCAAAAAAAAGAGAATGCATTAGCTTACATAACCAAAAAGTTCAGAAGGCAGATCTAGCTCTGGTCATGTCTGATTCCAAGGTTCAAATGAAGTCATTTAGATTTGGTCTCTCTCCATGTCCCAGCTCTGTTTCCCTCCTTAGGGCCAAAACAAGCTTGGAAGTTTAGACTCATCTTGACGGAGTACAGAGCAAGGCCAAAGATGGGAGGGGTCTTGGCTGGATGGCTTCCTAAGCCCCGCCCACCTATAAGTAATTCCTTAAGAACTTCCAATCTTTGAGCATTTGGCCGTCCCAAAAACCCTTCCTCTTCAGATCTTAGGCTTATCCTCTATCCTCTTAGCTGGAATTTCAGGAAGAGGGAGAAAGCTGGGGCTCCAGAGTGGCTTCCCCTAATGATCCGCCCCTGGGAATTTGCCAGGAACAGGGCACTTCTTATGGCTAGAATCATAACCAGTCAGGGAAGGGAGGCCACTAAGGAATGCACTCCTGGAGCTACAGAAGGGGAGAGAACTACCAGGTATTTGGGAAAGGAGTTGACCAGCTAGAGAGATGAGGCATGGGAGTCGTCGGACGGTGTCTGAGGTGGATCCGGCTTCCCCAAATTATGTTTTCCAGATACAGGGATCAATGAGTAAGTTGCCACAGTCCTGGCCTGAGGGCCTGAGGGCCTATGCTAGGGCACGAACCTCGGTGATAGACAAGACAGTGAGAAAAATTGAAAGGTTGTAGGGATCAGGGAACCGCAAGTTTGGCGCTCAGCGAAGTTCAGGGCTAAACTCGGCGCAGGGGGTGTGGG